TGCCGCCCCGGCCGCCGCCGCTCCCGGCCAGATGTCCTTCACCTTCGCGTCCCCCACGCAGGTTCGGTCGGAGAACGACCGCGGAGTCGCTGGTCCCGGCCCCGCACCCCGAACCCCAGCCCCTCCCCCCCGAACTCCGGGCCGTCCACCCTCTCCCCGCGGCCCGAGCTCCAGGATCCGGACTTGCCCCGGAGCCCCGCGTTGCCCCTTGTTTCGGGCGCGTCCCCGAGATAAGCGACTCTCGGGCGCCCCTCCGGGCCTGTGCCGTGCCCTCCCAGCGTGTCCCTGGGGAAGGAGGAGTCTGGGTGGGTCCCAGTCAAAGGTTCCCATTTTGCGGACGGGCAAAGGGAGGCACAGCTGTCCAAAGGACCAGAGCTGAAGCGTCGGACTCCGGCGCGGGGCTGTCTCCGTGTCCCCACCCCAGTGGGTCCTGTCCCCGGTGGTCGTGGAGCTGGCCTGCAGCGACGCCACTCCCCACGCTGTCCCCCCAGGTGTTCTTCGATGGCGCCAACGTCCGGCAGGTGGACGTGCCCACGCTGACCGGAGCCTTCGGCATCCTGGCGGCCCATGTGCCCACTCTGCAGGTCCTGAGGCCGGGGCTGGTCGTGGTCCATGCGGAGGACGGTACCACCTCTAAGTACTTTGGTGAGTCCGGTGAAGAGCTGGGCAGGGCACACGTGGCGCAGAGGGTCAGTCCCCGTTTCAGTTTAGACCGTGATAAAAGTAAAGTCTAGCAGGTTTGTCCGTGCAGCGCAGGGCTGAGTACTGACACCTGCCAGGATGAGGCGGAAAGTATCGGGGGTGACAATCGGTCAGAACAGAAGGGAAACGGCCGTAGTACCACGTGTGTCCAGTGTAGAACTAGGATTTGAACCCGATTCTTGCTTTGCCCCGATCCAGGCTCACCTCATTGGCTGGTGGCATGAAGGGAGGGGGCTCTGTCCCTGGTGGCCTCGGGCCCCCCTCCCGCCTTCCGTGCTCTCCGGGGATGTCTCTGTTCTTCTCCAGCCGCCGGCCCCGCCTCCGTTCCAGGCCTTAGGATCAGCCCTGTGGGGGCCACTCTGAGCCAGTGGGCAGGGGCCTCGGGGCTTGGCCCCCCGCCTGGACGAGGCATGGACGTGGCCGTGTCACACGTTTCTCCTGCAGTGAGCAGCGGCTCCATCACGGTGAACGCCGACTCCTCCGTTCAGTTACTCGCCGAAGAGGCCGTGACGCTGGACATGCTGGACCTGGGGGTGAGTGTCGGAGGGGAAACTGAGGCTCCCAGCAGGCAGGACCGGTCCAAGAGTTCCCTGGCTGCCCAGGGAAGGGCAGGCACTGGGCTGGGGTTTCTGCTCGGCCCTCACCCGCCACCCGACGCCTGCAGGCAGCAAAGGCGAACCTGGAGAAGGCCCAGTCGGAGCTGTCGGGGGCGGCGGACGAGGCCACGCGGGCAGAGATCCAAATCCGAATTGAGGCCAATGAGGCCCTGGTGAAGGCCCTCGAGTAGGCGGTGCGTGCTCCTTCGTGGGGAAACCGAGGCTGTAGCGGGGCGGGGCATTTCCCAGGCTGTCGGGGGCACAGCAAGCTCCAGAGCCTTCCTCGTCTGGGCGAGCTGTGTTGGCCACGGCGGCCACCAGGGGGCGGCACAGCGCCGGCTTCCGCCCGGGCTTTCAGGCTCTGCAGGGTCCTTTAAAGCCTCGGGAGGCAGAATCTGCTCGCTGGCTTTGGCAGGCCTGGTGCCTGGGGGTCTGTCACCCAGCGGGGCTCTCCTGCCTCCCAAGATCTCCCCAACCTTAAGGGCTGCCTGCCACTCCTTTGCTCCTGCAGGGTCTGCTGCTGAGAACTCTGCTCCCAAGCTACGTCTTCAGATGACCTGCCCCCTGCCCTTGCCCCCATTAAAGACCGAGAAGCTTGACCTGTGTATACTGGTTTTGTTACTCATGCCCAGTAGTAGTCCTTAGTCCTGTGTGTCCCTTAGTCCTGTGTGTCCCTCTGGAGCCACTTAATCTTCTGGGGTCTCCAATAAACTGAGGCTCAGGAGGTGTGGGTGGGGTGCAGGGGGTGCAGCCTCCAGGGCGGTGGGCAGAGTGCTGGCCTTCCCCTCTGGAGGGTGGGGATGGGGGAAGGTTGCCAGACAGGGCTGGGGACGGCAGGCAGGGGGGGGTTGTGACCGCCACTCCTGGGGCCAGGCTTTGGGCTGTTGGGATAGATAATTGCGGCCTCTGCCAGGTTCCAGGTGTCCAGGCCTGGTGCTGTGAAGCTGTGACCCCATGGCAGGGCCAAGTTCTCTCTGCCCTGGCCCTGCCCCAGCCAGCCTCTGGGAAGAGGCAGGTCTCGCCCGCTCTCACGGAGGCCCCACCCTGTGCACGCGGGCTTGTAGGTGGCCCCAGCCTGGCCAGACGCCCAATCTCCGGTGGTGTTGGCACCTCCTTGGGCACTCAGGCCTCTGGGCTGGCCCCAGATGGGGTGGGGCAGGCCCAGGAGGGGGCAGCTCTCTGGCACTGTCCCAGCTGGGCCCTGCCAGACCTCCCTTCTGCAGCCACAGGGGAGGCTCCGACACTGGCTCCAGGTGGTGCACAGCAACTGCAGGGGCAGGGGTCTCTGTCTTTTGTTCTCCTCTCCCCGCCCTGTGCAGTGGGACAGGCAGGGGATTCCACGAGGGTGAGTATGTAGAGAGCCTGGGCCTGTCTGTCACTGCAGTGAGGACAGTGACACGGACTGTGTCACAGTCCCGTGCAGGTGACTCCCCACAGCTGCACGGGAGGCCTCGGTGTGAGTGTGTTGGGGGCCTCCGGGTATGCTTCCAGCTCTGGGAATGTCCTTTCAGCAGATGGGACTGTCTAGGGGTAGCCCTGGCCCCTCTCTGGGTTCTGCTCCTCTTGGGCCTGAGCGGCAAGCGGCCAGCCCCCCAGGAGCCTCCAGTCCAGAGAAGGCTGTACTGGCCTTGGGGTCAAAAGTGCAGCCTCCCTGCCCAGGGCCACCCCTCCCCTGTTCCCCGGCTGGGAGCCCAGGTCCTCGAGTTCCTGGTGGGGCCACCAGGGCTCTATAAATAAGACCAAGGACACAGCCAGGGCTTGGCAGCGACCCAGCAGGAGGAGACTGGCACTGAGCTGCCTGTGCCTGACCTGACCGGGGACCCCCTGCCCCCACCACGCAGGCGGCACAGCTAGGCCACGCCCGGGAGAGGTGTGAGCCTTGGAGCAAGGCCGCTGGACGCTGAGCCTGCCATCACCCCGCGGGAACAGCCCGTGCTGGCCGGGCTGCGTCCTGGGCAGGAGGCAGCCAGGGTGGGGCCAGGAACCAAGGGGTCAAGACCTTTCCACGAGGGCAGGACAGAGCATGAAGGTTTGTCCCCATCCCCGGGAGGGTCCATGCAGGGCTCCCTGGTTTCTGCTCACACGCGGGGAGAGACTGCTTGGGCATGGGGACACTCTATATAGCAAAAAAACTGGGAAGTGTGATGTCAACATTTTCACTAAATGTGGGCAGTACAGGGCATGTTGTCCCCAAGGGGCCACAGTCCTCCTCCCACAGAGTGACCCCTTCTTCCCTTGCTGCCCAGCACAGCCCCCAACTCCCAGTGTTAGATTCTATTACTGACCAGCCTGAGAGCACACGATATCCAGGTGGCAGGGCCACAACCTGGCAGTAACCCCCAAACCCAGTGCTGCCTGCCCACAGGAGGGGGGTGAGCCACGGTCCAGTCACAGAGGCCCCACCTCCCCCCCCCCAGGCTGCTCCTCCCACGTGGAGATGCTCTGGTTTCCAAAGCCCACACCTCTCTCTGCCACCTTTGTTCCCTCTGGAAGCAGAACAGACCTGGCCTGGAAGGTCCCTACAAGGGTCCCCGGTTCCTCCCAGGGCCCCACGCCCCTTAGCCTGGCTGGACCTTGCCTCTCCCGCCTTGGGTTCAGTTCCCTGGCTTGAGCTCAGAACTCAGTGTGCAAGCTGTTCGCATGCCCGTCTGCTTCGTGTGACAAACTCCTATTCATCCCTCAAACCCCAGCCCCTGTAACCCCCTCCTAAGGGTTCTCCCAGCCTCTCCTCTCTGGCCCGGCCCTGACCCTGCAGGGCTGGGAGTGTCTGGGTGTGCCCGTCTCAGGGTGGGGGGCCAGAGGCTGTGGGGAGCGTTGGGTGGGAGCAGGAAGGAGACCTGGGAAGGAACACAGCCCTGGGAGGGGCACCCAGGGCAAGGGTGCGGGCAGAGGTGGTCAGACCAGATAAAGGGAGAGACCAGATAAGTGGACAGGAGGTGGTGGAGTAGAACCTGGGGTACCCCTTGTCTGGCCAGAGGGGACCAGAGGACAGAGGGCCCCACCCCCAGCCAGGGTCATGCTCAGAAAGCCACCCACCCAGGGCAACCTGCCGGGAGAACCTGAAGACATGCTGCTTCCCATCTGTCATTGGCTGTGTGCCCTCAGTTTCCTCATCTAGGAAATGGGTAATTATGCCCACTTCAAAGCTGGGAGCCAGTGTGTGTGCACGCATCAGTGGGATGACGGCAGTATGGAGGGCCTCACACCCCCAGGCTCCCGAGCCAGCTCTGCTGGATGCTCATTTCGCTCCCAAGCCACCCTGGAGAAACTGAGGCTCAGAGAGACCAATTCCTTCCATAAGACACACAGCGCAGCAGGGTGGTGGTTAATCACTCCATAAATGACCTCTGAGGTCACCGTTAAGGGATGCAAGAGGCAGGCTGACCGGGCAGCTGGCCGGGGCACCGCCACTCCACGGCAGGTGACCTCGGCCTGTTTTCCTGGACGCCAGCCTCTGACTCAGGCCCCTCTTCCCGTCCTCCCAGGCGGAAGCACCAAGCCCGGAGCGACAGGAAAGGGGGCGGGGCAGGGATCCGCTGGTCACCCCGACACCCTGTCCCGGCGGTGCGCCCGAGTCCACAGCGAGGCCGGCAGAGACCCCCAGCTCAGTGGCACTCAAGGGACGTCTCCCCCACCCCCCCTTTACAGGGCGAAGCTTGGAGGCATAGTGGCCAGGGCCGAGGGCGTCCTAGGGCCCTGGCCGGCAG